CTAATAAGACACAGTGGCTTTAACTATGTTTGTGTCCAAGTTGTCCAAGTCTGACTTTGGCACCCCCAAGTGCCAGGGTGTGAAGAAATACTGAGGCACACAGTAGAACATAGGGCCTAAAGCAACTGCACAAATTTGGTTAATATTTGCTAAAGCTACATCATATTAATATTCTATAAATTGCTATAATAAACAATGCATAGTGGTTCTAGGTAACATACACAAGCGTGATTCAAACTGTGCACACGTGGAAATATGCTCTTGCTCTCTCACCTGTGGACACTGAAAAAAGTGGCCATGAGCAGCACATTTTTATACAGAACAATGACACATACTGTACATCTGGCCCCAATGTGCTTTATCACATCTGACTGGCCAATAACAGCCGCTGTCACAGAAACAAGGCCAGAGAGCCCATTGCAATTTTGGACTGTGATATGGTTGAAATGCATTAATTTAGCCAGAGCAGATGTGGAGCACAGATGCACAGACAGGCTTGTCCAGACAGCTTCTTCTTCATCCGTATTGTTGGCTAATGAAAAGTAAACTGACTTGGCCAAGTGGAAACTAAAAATAAATAGATAAATAAAAATAAATAAAAGGTACCTTGATGATAGATGACTGTGGTCGTGTGCTCATGTATCATGTATGGCACAAGTAAAGAAACCATCAGTTTCAAAGGGGATGCTGAAACTTGACTGAATGTCTCGAATATGAACTCGCAGGCGGCTCATGTGAGAAATGTGGAGAGAAACATGGTGTGTAAAGCAATGTTAAGACTGCATCCCTGTGGGTTACCCTTGGTCAAACACACACATGATGAATTTCAATATATTCCGTTGAGCATTAATTATGAATCACCTGCCTTGTTGGCTATGCATCAGTTGAGAAGAAGCAAACTAAGACGTACTGTGTAGTGGGCACACAGAGCCGAGAAAAGAGGTTATACAGCACATTAAAAAGTGTGTGTATTTGTGGCTATTGTGGCATGATGTGTTTGTGTGTCAGAGTGTGGGAGGAGGAACATGAATTTACTCATATCTCCTTTGACCAAACATAAACCGGTGTGCATGTAAATTCTCATTACATATTGTTTCCCAGTTGGGTTTGTCTCAAAATCCCCTTATTTCATGCTTGATACATTGTTTTTTGATTGATTATGCTTGCCTGCCGATTATGCTGCCAATCTTCGACAGCAGTAATGTTATTCATGGGTTCTGACATGCAGCTGTCACAACCAAAATTACAACAAAGGTCCCCCAAGATTAAGGATATTTAGGATTAATCAAAGAGCATGACCGATCTCCCAAAAAACCACCTGCACATGCACACACACAGAGAATACATAAATACATAAAATCACACAAACACAGACACGTGGATTCTTGACGGTGTAGGCCTGGGTGACCACATCAGTTACACCACAAGAATTCATAAATGTTGAACACATGGGCCAACCTAGTAGGTGGCATGGCATTATTCCAACTCATTACCATCAACCTGGAATATTGTAACACGACAAGACCCAGTTTGATGCTTGTTAATAATCTATTTTTACCGAGATTATACTGCTGTGAATCGGGGCCAGAGAAATGCCCAGTGGCATGTCCATTGCAAAATGGAGGAGGCTGCACAACAGATAAGGTTTGTAACAGAGGCAACACATCAGACTAAATTCAGTGTTACTGTAGCTGCTATTTTATCACATTCGACACACACCAAAGGTGCCAGAGAATCTGGCATTGGTGTTTATGACGTATTTTTTGTCGATGGCAATGCAGTGAAAATAACAACTCACCTGCTAACATGAACACAAATATAATATTTACTTACATAGTGAAGTTAGACCAGGTTGGTAATGTCAGCATGTGAGACAAACCTGAACAATATTTCTTCTTCTCCACTTGTATAAATGTTTTAGTATGTTAGACAATACACTAATATTCAGTTAAACAGATTTCAAACAGTGTTTCAACATAGAGTATTAAAACATTTATAATAGATTATATAATATATAATAATATTATCCATGATAAAAATTATATTCATGTTCAAACTTCTGATCAGTCTGAAAGGCGCTTCATTATTTCAGTAAAAAGAGAAAAGATACCAAATTGTAAAATCCTGCAACACTTCTGCAGGAAGTCTCAAACGAACCACAAATTTTGCTTTCAAGTGCTCTTGCAAGAGAACAGGTTTGGTTCAATAATCTGTGTTCAGGTAATGACTTTAAAAAAAACATCACTGTAATACCACCATGCATTACACCAATATTGGATCATTAATCAATGTAATTTCTACAACTCATTTTGTCAGTAAACGCAATCCTAAGACACGCTGCTGGTAATAAACCAGAGCATCAGCTGAGAAATGGATATATGCTGCTTTGCTAACTGGATCACTGAGTCGCTCGAGGCAAAGTGTTCCACCGTCTGGTTTGAGGAAATATGACAGCCCTCAAAGTGACAGAATATTACTGAAGAATTCAACATTTTGTCTGTGGCAACCTGGATGTGACATTAAAAGGATAAGTTCATTGTTTTCAACCCAAGATTCATTTGTTATATAATTTATGACTATGTATAGTACAACCATGACTTTAATTTTGATATGTAACTCTCTGCTTTAGCTTCTTATACACGGCCCTATGAGCAACTCTTTACATCTTCAACAGACATAATAATCTTGTCTTCAAACCTGAGAAGTTCAGTCAGAGAGGCCTATCTGTTCATCCAGTAAGGATCACAAACTTTGCTTTCCGTGAGGTTTAATTGAATGGAAAAATTTTTTTGCACAACTTACTGCTTTTGGCGCAGATGTAGATACACTCAGTAAAATCTGAAATAAAACATGCCAGCCTCTTTTCAGCGGGAGAACATACAGACATGTGTGAGTCTGACGATCCTGTGAGCTTGCCGTTCATGGAAAGGAGATTTATCCTTGCTTTTGAAGGCCTCAACGATTTCCCCATTGGACTGTGTTTAATCTCCGTGAGAAGCTGCAGCAGATTATTGAGGCTGTGCTGTGCATGATTTTAAATGGTGGGAGACAACATTTTAATAAGTTCAAACAGTTAACCTCTCTGCTAATTTATTCTAATTGAATACTTATAAGAAAAATATAAGCATGTTAACTGTGGAAGTGTCAGTTCCAGGCATTATAGTAATATCCAGTAATTAAGTCATTTACATTTTCCTTTTAAAAAACTGCTAGAGAAAACTACAATATCAGACTTAATATAACATTAAAATAAATATTGATGCATGACAGAGCACATACACAGAATAATTGTATTACTTTCTCTTTAACATCAAGATTAGTGTTGAGGAGTAAGAGTGATGGCACACATTAGTTCAAAGTGTTCCTCTATGTCCTGATTGAGGCAAAGATAATCTGGAGGTTAATAAAGAAACTGTAATATTTGGTCTCAGTGTAGCAGTGAAGTGAAATCCCCCCGCTGGAGGAGTGGACTGGGTATTGTGTATGCCTGCTCAGCAAAAAACAGACAGGAGGGAAGGCGTCTGAACTGCTGATCTAGGAGATCTAGCAGAGGTTATAGTAAACTATCAAAAACACAACATGGGATCAGACTAAGGATGTTAACACAAGCCAGGAGCCAGCAGCATTTTCCACCAGACTCCAGGGACAAATCACCTAAGTGGCTGTCAGATATTGTTTGTCCAACAAGTTACGTGTCAATTTCTCATCAATTTCTTTCTGCAAGGAAAGAGAACTTTATGTTTGAGAGAAAATGATTCATTTTAAAGATAACCTAAACTAGAATGGAGGAAATGGTCTGAAATATGATCTGTGATACTTAACCCAGAGAAAATTTCTGGTAGACCCACTGTGCCCACTGTGGAACTCTTTGAAACTGCTTTGTATGTAGACTCTGGTGTTACTAGATTGAATTTTAGTATTCAGAGTGAAGGCCGGGTCACTATTAAATGAATACACTCCACATACTGTAAGTAGAGCTTGTTAATTGGCTTTTTGAAGAGACTCTCCAATGAATAATAATAGCAGCATCCTTTATTCAAAGGGCCTAGTTAATTCAAGAATGTGTCATTAGTTTTAGGTCACAAGATTTCAGCCTTGGACGGGCTCTGGGGATAGGCTGTCGAGAATGAGTGAATTGCACATGCTAACAGCTTTGATATCAGTTCATCCACAGATTCAATTTACCTGTGAACTTCACACTCACCCACCTGCGGTGCTCCTGACAGATGTTAAAGACACAACAGGTTTATTGGGCTGTGCCTGAGTTGAAACTTGATTATGATTGCCAGAGAGCATTGATTATGATTGCCAGAGAGCCCAGTCCCGGAATACGCATGCAGCATGTTCTCATGTGCACCCTGAATAACAGGCACATAGACAGGGCTGGTCAAAAGACTGACAGGGCTGGTGGAAAACAAAGATTTTTTGACAGCCCATTGTTTGGGTTAAAAGTTAGAGGATGCAAGTAATATCAATAATAAAATGATAATACAATTTTAATATCGGTTCATGTCATGTCATGACATGTTCATACATGTATGCCATTAAAATGTTTTTTTTCATGCAGCAGACAGAATATTTTTCACCCAGATGGTTGGATGAGTCTTTCAGGATTAAGGAAATTTCCTCAGAAACCTCCTTGGTTTTTCAGAAAAACCAGGCACTTTGCTCTGTGACAGGAATTAATACATGAGGCAGAACAACACGGTTTTGGATATGTAATCTACTGATTTCATGAACAGCCCAAAAGTAGGCTGCATTTAAGTACATGTCCACGTACTTTTGGCCATCTACTGTACCCTGAGTACACTGTTTCACTAAGAACTAAGAAGAGAGTACAAAAAACGTATAAAAGACAAGACTGAATAGAGAATATGGGAAATAATGCGGGGGAAAGAAAGGAAATAGACAGGAGGAGATAGGGACGAAGAGAAGCAGAAGAAAAAAGAAACAGAGAAAAGAGAGACAGTGAATGAGTGAGTGAGGGAGAGAGTGACTTGCACCTCCTTCCTTATATGTGACAGTCCAGCTCCACAGCCTCCTCCACTGCCACTAACTCTCTCTCTCCTTCTCTCTCGCTCTGTCTCACTGTCTTCCATCCACATCTCTTCATTCCTCCGTCAGCTCCGCTTCTGTTCCTGCTTTTTTGTTTGTTTTATATTCCTTCATTTTCTCACCCTCCCTCTTTTTTTGTTGATTCTTCATCCTTCGACATGCTCATCACGTGAAGTCCGCCAACTTGCACAGCCGGTGTCATCAGTAAAAAAACAAAAAAAAACAAGGCAAATGCTCTTTCGGGGAATAAGAGAAAAAGCCACACACGTTTGCATCCTTCACTGAACGGAGCAGCAGCAGCAGCAGCAGCAGCAGCATGGATCTGTCTTTCATGGCCGCGCAGGTGAGTGTCTCTTCCAGTTTCCCTCACTGATTCATGGCTTGTCCGAACTTTTTAGAAATGCGTTGTGGCCATTGATGCCATGGGCGTGGCCGGTCAACAAGTTCATGTGGCGCTTTGATAATTGAAGACCGTAAGAACGACTGAACACTGTTGCTCATGGGAGACAACGTCATATTTTTATGATTTCCCTGCTGGAACAAAAACCAATGGATATTCCCACAGTACTGCTAAAAGGACTGGAACTGCGTGTGTGGTACATTGCTGTACTTAAGGTGATATTACCTGTGGTAGTCCTTTAGTGATGTAGTTGTCCTTTTAAAGTTTAGATCATAAGGTCCGACTTGAACATACTGTAGAGAAACTGAGGTTGACAAAAACACAATTTATATTTTAAACTTCATAATATTATTTATTTTGTTTTATTTTAGTTGGATACATTGAACCAGTTCAGTTGGACCAAGACATGGTGGCATATTGTGTTACTTGGGCAGATGCTCAGTTGTGATGGTTTCCATAGTGATACATTTAAATATGTTACACTCAATTGATTTTGGCTTCATATGTATCTGTTTCACACACACGTGGTTTGTTTTCATTAGGGGCTCTGGTATTCTGCTCCCCTCTCTCTCAGTGTCTGGCTGCTTATGGTTTGTCTGGTGACATCTACTTTGCCTTTTTGTGCGCAGCTGCTATTAAAAGGGTTTATAGCATTATCTTTGCTGCCAATGGCTGTTATGCAGGCCAGACTCAGCCAAATCTTTTTAGGACCCCTAAATAGAAATGCATTAGACCATGGAGCCATCGGAGAATATATTTTTGTTCAGTACAACTTGATTAAAAGAGAGGTGGAGCAATACGAGAGAGCATGAAACCTGAACCCAAATCAGCCAGCATTTTTCACCCTTGTGTTAACTTTTAGTGAGATTTTTTTAAATTAAAAACTGTATAATGGTGATACAACGTCTTCAAGGATGTTATGTCCTCTCTTGTGTTTTTTTAAAAACTTTGGCTCTGTAGCAGTGCACAGGAGCCAGACTTGCAGCTAATGACGAAGCACAGCGGAGGAGGCGGAATACTCTCAGCCTGTTAGAGATGCTGTGGGGAGTCAGTTACTCATATTCATGATGGCTTAATACCACAGTCAAACCACTAAGCTGGAGCAGTGGGGGCTTGGTTTATATGAAGGAACTTTCCTCTGCCCTCACTGTGCACAGCAATGCAAGAAGCTAAACATAATGTAGTTCCAATGAAAGGTCAAACACTGCAACTGACCTTTCAAATTCTTCTGGAAACAATGAAAAACACAACTGGACAAGAAATTTAATGACAGTTATTACAACTCAAACAATGAGATACCACAACAAGAGTTAGACCAAAGGCTCTGTAAAATGACTTAGTGCAGCAACAGGGAAACTAAATATAGACTGTGACATTAGTTACAGTGTCACTCAAGTATAACCAATCAAAAACAACATTAAGTCCAGATAGGAAACTACAACACAGTAATTAATCTCATGAACGTTCATGTAACATTTCAAGCTGAAACAATTAGTTGATTAATTGATTGAGAGAATGACAGAAAATTAATCTCACATCAAAACTGTGGATGATTAATCATTTGAGTCATTCCTCAACAAAAATACTTTTCTCCAGCTTCTCAATTATGAATATTTTCTGGATTTCTTAGTCTCCTGTGATAGGAAACGGAACATTTTTTTTGATTCGGACTGTTGATCAGTGAAAACAAGACATTTGAGGATATCGTCTTGGGGTCTGAAATACTGTGATGGACATTTTTCATTATTTGCCATCATATAATAGACAACACTGAAAATACGCCTTAGTAGACTAGAGTTAAAGTGAAGAGGAAAATACCTGACAGTTAGCCCTTACAGTGATTTAACAGTTACAATGTTGTTGACAGCACAGTGGCTAGCTTGGTTAGCAATGAGCTGTTTGCAGAAAAGCTATATATTACTAGCTAACAAATCACAAATAAGGTAGAATAAAATAGTGCCTTTAGATAATGTACCAACAAGAGCATTTGGAGAGTAGATAAAAGATTTGCACTGTCACTGGTCTGACAAAATGGTGGATGTAGTTAAAACTGTATACCGGTTGCTTCAAGTAATAAAATATTCAGCTGACGTTTTGTGGAGCAGAAATTTAGTTCAAGAAGTCATAACTCGTCTTAAATAAGACACTGGTACGCTTCCAGTTCCTCATTATTCCATTACCATCCTTATTCACTCCTGCTTCTTCCAGTCCACCTTTTTCCCAGCATCCACGTACCTTCTCCACAGGAATGCAGCCTCTTCAGAGAGCTAATGGCTAATTTGACGGAGGTGAAATTCATTCCAGTGCCCTGAGTCATTCTGTAATGGTGCCTGTGAATGAAGGCAGGGAAATGTCCCTGGAGTTTTGAAGATTGACTTCACAATGGATTATTTTTTGCCCATCCATCTCAGTGTAGCCCTGCCGCCTGCAAATCATTGGACCCTTCACCATCACTTTGTCTCTAAAAGATGACGGATGCTGCCATAACTGTTCTCTCCTAAAGACAGAAAAAGTTTTTAAAAGAAGTCCAACTCAGAGCAGCTGGTTACCGATTTTCTCCCCGAAGCAAAGGATGAAGAATGAGTAGTCTGGAGGATGTATTGGTCGTTATTGCTGCAGTGTAGTTGAAGAAAACATATGAACCTCATTAGTGATATATGTGACATTCCTGTTGAAACTTAAGCTTTCGTTTACGTGTGCACCACTCTACAGAATACCAATTCAAACTTGGAACATAATCGGCCATTGTTTTGCTGCATTTGTCCCTGTTCCTTTTTGTTGAAATAGATTTGTAAGATATCATAGAAACATGCTAAATGGCTCTCTGCAGAACAATGTGCGCACTTTTGTGTGTGGTGACTGATTTGCATTTGCCAGCGATGCCTCACTGGTTTGAAATGAAAAAGGGCATACTTCATTAGGCTGAAAGTGGTGGCATCCTCAAGCCTTGCAAAACATGGATTAATAGTTGACAATCACAATGAAGCTCCTGAATACTAAGCTGCAGGCAATGAGGCGATTTGCTCTCTATCTTTTCAGATACACCGAATTTAACATTTTTGTTCCATACAACTTCCCTCAGCTCTTTAGATATGGATATTAAGATTTATTCTCAACTTGTCCTCGCTTATGAATTTCTTTCGTCAGACCAACAACTGAAGGTTAATCACATTGTGTGCATCTTTTTAACTTGTGCAGGCACAGGCTGTGACTGTCGGAATGACTAAAATGGCAGATGTTGAGCCAATGTGTTCCCCAGTTACTAACTGATGTTAAGGTCAAGTTTGATGTGTTGCAGACAGGCTCCAGAGCCGTCCTGGGAATTTTGCCAGTCTCAGACTTGCATCAGCAGACAGATCCGCAACACAAGGCAGCAAAGCCCTTAAGGCTCTGTCTATCCAATACACAGTGACCCACTGGCCTTGGCCTTTTACTCATTTTTGGATGGATACATGAGTATGCATGCACAGACCTTTTTTAGAATATGTGCTATGGTTAACATTTGATCCCATGTGTGAGAAAAGGGCACAAAAGGAAGAGAGCTCTGTGTTTATTTTATTTCCTTTTCATTGCTTTCATGTCTGGACGGTTAACTCATAAATGAGACACTAGAGGTCGTTCTCCATATTCTCAATTCAGATGTTTTGTCTTTTTTATGACAGGCCATCAGCATTTCTCATTGCTCAATTACTTATTCAGTGAAGACGTGGTTCTGAGTCATTCTACCTGACAGGGTTGTCCATCTCCTCTCATGTTCGAGAGTACAGACGACAGTGAAAGGATGAGGATGGGGGGGTGGGGTGGGGGAGTGGGGGGGGGGGGGGGGGTTGACAGCCTTAACACAAACAAAGCCATCTGTATTTATCCGCAGCACCAGAAACTTCAGATCAGGAGCAGACAGGACTGGCAGATATGCTTTGGATTACCTTGGTGCCAAATGATAGGACAGACATAAGTGCCAGAAAGTCAATACAATCAGAGTAGATGATATAAGTTGGTAGATGTGTTTAAATGCATTGTTTTAATGCAAACAGCTCCACACACTCTCATGCTGATTAAAACCGGCATTTATTTGTAATGTGCAGAATGATTACAGCTAGTTCAATCATAAAAAGGGTAAAATGAAACAACAAGACCAAATTTAGTGGCATGTACATGGCATAAGATCAGAGAAAGACTGCATCACCGCCCCACGATATGATGCTGGATATGGAAATGTGAGTAGAGTAGTTCACGCATGAGATTATTTTCCTATTAAACACAGTTTTCCAAATGGCAGCCATCACAAGCTCTATATCAAGACCATCTTTGTTCTCAATTGCATAAAAAATTCAATTATGTAATCATATAATCTCGCTGTGCATTCTTCACACGCAAACTGTCCCTTTAAAAGAAAGAAAAAACACAAAGATCTCATGGTCTCTATAGTGGTGGCTTATTTGAAGAGTGTAATAATGGCACAACACCAGCCTTTTCATCTCGAGGAGCTGATTTGCCTTCTGGTCTTTTGTCTGCTGTTTTCAGCAATTGGTTTTATATGAAAGCTGTAGGCTAGAGATAGTGAAAACTTGCAATAGCCCCAATTCACAGTCTTCTTCTACTTTTATTACCCTGCCGGGCTGTAAACGGACCGAAGGAATAACAATCACCACAAATCAATTAGAAGAAGGTGTAAGCTCAGGAAAAAAAAAAAAAAAAATCAATGCTTTAAACAGATGAAAAAACAGGTGAATCTGGCTTTGTTGGGCCTTATTTCTATTTTTAGCAGCTTTCCAAGAAGCGCTATTTGAAGATTTGAAGCCTTTTCATCTCAGTGCCTTTCACACGTTTTATCTGCACATTCAGTCTTATAAATCACACAAAAGTTGACTGAATAATGTGAACAATCAAACCACAATGACTGAAGTAGTTTTTTTTGTGCGTGTGTGTGTGTTTCTGTGTGT